GCATAGACGTATGCGAAAGTATAGTGTCCTCTCTGGCTAGGAACTCGACTCACAGTGAAATCTCCGAGCCGACTCCCATAAAATTGACCACCTTATGTTCGAAGTAGTCGTGCCTCGGTGTGTTTTGCAGTGTTCCTCAAGTCGACACAGCGCAGCGCAGTGGTGCGTCCAGTATTGACATAGGCGAGAAAGACAAGTCCATCGAGACAGCGGAACTTACTGCGCATTACATATTCGTCGTAAGGGCCAACATAGACTTCCTGACAGAACTCGGGATTGGCAAGCTTGTAAACGAATACTCTGTGATACTCGCAGTCGGAGGCATACACTCTGTCGTTGACGTCGTCATAGTCGTAGCAAACCCTATAGCCGTTTCTGATGGGTTCAATCGATGTCTTTTCAGATCTGTCGATGCAGCGGGGTCTGGCCACCCTTCTCGAGGATTCATCTACGACCCACAGGCAGTCATTCCGATTGAATATCAGTGATGGCAGTTGCTCCGCTCTCAGATGTGAACAACCACGTTCGACCAAACCTTGTTCTCGCATGTCGAGGAGTTGAGCTACATCGTATTGGAGCTCCGGCATCATACCATGACAATTTCGTGAGAATTCCTGATCCTTCGATGTCGCATAATCGAGCGACACTGATTGACCGAACGCTGTTCCCAGGCCTCAATCGCATTGTAGGAAGTGTTTCTGGTCTCAGTTCGCAGCAGACTTCGACATAGGCACTATCACTGGCCGCAGCCCGGCGACCGCGACAAGCTGAGATTGACCGTGGAATGCAATCAATTGTTACATGCACGCATGCGATGGCCCTCCTTAATATTATGGAACCGGAGGTTGGTCTACTAGATTTTACACAGCATACAGGAAAGTTACTCAGATATTTCCAGCCTTCAGCGAAGCGGTGCTGATTCGGCTCATTCACGCGGAGCGACCAACGGAAGCCAGGGAGGTTTTAACGCCTTGCGAAGCCTCCATGAATCATGGGCCATGATACTGTAGGAAACTGGCCATTGTCGTTGTAGAAGTGCGACTATTTGTTTGCAGCTTCTCGTGGGCGAAGGCGCACACTCATGCAGATGATCTGATCCAACACGTCCTCCAAATTATCGCTGAAGCCGCTTGCAACTGTACTTTGGGATTGCAAGAAGTAAGTCTGGCGGCGTATGATGGATTTCCCGATAACATGTCCATAATCGGATTTGGTCAGGTTCGGTGCAGGGCATTTTCGTGTGGGTGGTGAAACATGATGGCCTGCATTGGCATCAACTTTTAGGGGCTCATTAAATGAGTAAAGCAAAGAGTTTTGAGTTATCTAATCGGATTAGACTAATCCTAACAGCACCTTAACCCTTTGACATGTCGAGTTGTTCTTCAGGTGCAATTCACGTCAAGCTGTGATGTGCGCCAACGCGATGGATACCGTGTTACGCGACGGAGCGAAAAGGGTTTCGATGTCGTATGTAATATCGCCTGCAAGCGCTCTTTACTTGGAGATAATTCCTCAGAGGCGATCTTCTCTCGAGAGCGCTGGGGTTCGGGCCAACCCCGCCGCGATGGGCCGTTTGTATCCGGCGGCTAAGGCACGATTCATGTTCGCGGAGTGATGTAACGCGTGTTTCTCATTTGCCACTTCCGGCAACACCCGTCTGGTTTGGAGTTTGTGTGAGTTTTGGATTATTGCGGTACGAATAATAGAAGAAATGCATACCACCAAATAGCAATGCTATTCGCTATTACGTATAGCATCCATTTTAATCAAGCCGGCGACGGCGTTGGACTTCAAACTGACCCACATCCACAAACACGGGTCAAAATACGGGGTCCGAGTGGATCAGTTGGAAACACCTAAGTTTGGGACGCTTCCTTTATACAGGAAAAGACCCGAACCAAACCTGTGTATCCCAGAACTTGACGACACAACCTTCGTAGAGAACAATATTCTAATTACGCACCGTAATCACAAGGTCGAGGTGAAACACTCCTCATTGATGAAAGATTTGACATAATTTGTACGTTGTAACTCTCTACACCCTCGAGGTCAGTTGCTCCTCAGATAAAACATGAGGGGATCCCCATATGCGAGCTTTTTATTCCGTCTGCTTGATTCGCGTGGCTTAGAAGCCTGTGAGAAAACTGGCCTGGCACACGCGGTTTCGGGTGAGTGAATGGTGAGAGAAATCACAAAGCCGTGGAATGTAGAGTCTATTATAGACTCTACATTCCATAGTCTATGGAATATAGACTGTCTATATTCCAGAGTATCGGTGAGTGCGTATTAATTACTGCCTGGGACTTTCGCCATCCGCATGTCCCGCGTTTGGAATCCCCTCAAAAGAGAAGGGAGCAACCTCTCACCGGTCACCGAGACTTCGCTCGGACGCTCGTAGGTGCCCCAATAGTCCAAGCATTGTAAGAGAATGTTTTGGTGAATGAAATAATTTTCGTAGTGAACTGAGTGTTGGGCACCTGCTTTACCCAAAGCCTCAATATATGGCATCATATGCGCGCTCCAAAATTGGGAGCCCCTGGGCGAGCGGACCTAAACCTGTAGACAACTTACGCAGGTGCGACCTGCTCACCGTAAAAGGGCTGAAAATGAAATAGCTAAATTTAAACGAGCTGTGGGAACCCCACAGTGGGATTATCCGTGTTTAGTTAGCCGGACTCGTCTGGTGCCCATGGCGTCTGTCGACGTTTGCGGGCAGAATTGTTCGCTTGGTGTCTCATTGAAACCCACCGCAAATGTTACCAACGGGCAACAACCCACTCACACCGGGTGGTATGGTAAACAGGACAGCGGACCCTGAATGCGGGATTCGGTCGAAAGACTAAACTCAAACCGGAAACCCGCACGTCGGGCCGCCAAATCACAGGGTCGAGGCTCGCTCGAGGTCGACCTCCGGAGGTCGGCCAACGAGCTGTCTCAGCCGAGTGATTCAACCCGGGAGAGGGGGGCGGGGAGAAGATAAACGAGCCCGCGTCGCAACTGCGGAGGGGAAGGAATACATATACATCGAGCTACTCACAACAGGCCTGGAGTACAGGCTACGAAAAGCCTCCTAGATGTTTCTCGCAGTCGTAAATATGCAGTACTGTAACGGTCTACTTCGCTCGCCGACGACACAAGTTACCGCACTCTCGATCTTCTGTGTGGTCGTTTCCGCACCGGTGAGCCTGGTCTTGTAGCTAAACTTGATTACTTCGTAACCTTCACACACATAGAACTCTACGCTAACGGGTGCTCAGTTAAGAATAGTTGAAACTGAAATTTCGCGGCCAGAGATTGGCCTTGAAATGTTCGAATTCACGTGTTGATGCGTGTGTGTAGCGCGCACAAAAGTATCGTCAGAGCAGTTGACGGAAATAGGAGACTGATCCGATGGATCAAGTTCTGACATCTTCGCCTATGAGTGGTACGGTAATGCATGGGCATGATGTGTTCTATGGTATACGCTCTGGTGTGATGAATTCTAGATTTTTGTATTGAACTGGTATCTTTGGCCGCACATGCTTCAATTACCTAGAGCAACTATCTCATGTTGGAGACTCCAACACTTCACCTTGAGATGCTGTAGATGGCCTTCGTTCAATATATAGCTCAAGCGTTGTAATTCTATTGGTGTTGCTCAGTTCATACTGATCGTGTTCGCAATGTGGGAAATGATGTATGAGGTAGCAATATATGGCCAGTGATATACGGACGATAATATGCTACACAAACACACTCCATTGACATAGTGTGATACATCGTTACTGAATATTCTCGTAACGGAGTTATACAATTCCCGTAACGGATTCCACACTTATGCGGTTGAATTTCACCCCATATTGCGGTTTTTGTTCGAGCCGGATGGTTCGCAAAAACCGCCTCCTTTCCCTCTCACTAAAATAACCTTTGGGGGATAGGTCCACGATTCGCGGACCGCGAACATTCGTCATTGGAAGCTTTTCTGCAACGTGCTGGCTACATACCGTTTGTGAATTGATCACTGACGAGGGATTGAAACTTCCCGACTGAGCCTGATTCCCTTACTTTTCTGGCAGCAGGTCTATCTTGGTGACGTGACAGACCCGCCGGGTCTGTCACGTCACCCCTCACCCGGCGGGTGAGGGGTGAATACGGCACCAGTCGACCGAGCACCCGTGACCGAGACTTCGGGACTTCTAGATCAGGAGGGAGATCTTCGGTCCTCTCTAAATCACCTATTATATTAACTCGGTCAATAGTTTCATTGATATGTAAAGATTTTCAGTTGAACTGGAGGATCACTGGAGCCAGAGTTGACACGTAACCCAACATCCACGGGTACGCATGTACATAATCGATTAGTGACTCAAGGCTGCAGTTCCTTATGACCAATGAGGTCTGCTCAACTTATGAGCAGCGTATACACTCCGGCTAAAAACTGATCGGTAGCGATTAACCTATGACTTGCTCTATTTTGGTCCTGACCCGTATGCGTGAACACGGGTACAATACGGGAACGCATGCGTGCTACTCCGCACAATAGTTGTCCGGTCGTTACCCCCGACTCCGGCGGCTCGTAGACCATCCCAGACTTGTTGTTCTTCAAGCACGCTACCACGTGTGATGCAAGATGGACCACACTATCCATTGAGCTAGTCCAGCTTGCATCCCAAGATGGGATTGCCAGCACCCACCACTGTTGAGCAGCCAAGCACGATCTAATTTAGACTCTGCTCCGCTTTGTACTCGCGTGCGAGCAAATATAGCCCTTCAATCGGCCCGCTTCATACTCAATCTCTCATGGTGAATCGATAACAAGGGCAGAGCTCTTCACAGATCCGAAAAGGTTCATGCGAACACAGATTCGGCAGCGATGCTGTGCGTCGCACAGTGTGTAAACCTCTTGAATGCGCCGAGGCCATGCGACGCACGAGGCAAGTCTTGTTCTCAATGACTCCTCGCTGTAGGACAGCACCAGCAGTGAGAGGCATCGTCATGTACGGTCTATTCTTCCCAATTGTAGCTTATAACTTGAACCCTCGTTGTAACCATGCCTCCTCCTCCGGCTGGCCCCTCCAAGGCCACGGCAGCTAAGGGAATCCTCATGGAGAGAGTTCCCATTGTTAGTGCAATCCATATGTTATGTAAAGACTTTGGATGGAAACTCATCACAATGCTGCACTTCACTAATCACTGGGCCAAGGGTTACAGCTACCTCATGCTGTATTCCAGTGTTCCGTTCTATTTTCGGTCCATGAACGTGAGTGGCCCAGATATTGACCGATATACCTCAGTGGTTTTCATGCCTTGGGCGATGAAGCCCTGGCTCGGTGTGATCTCCGACTCTCTCCCCATGTTTGGCTACCACAAGCTCCCGTATATGATGATCTTAAGCATCCTTGGTCTAGCCGGTACCATCCTGGCAGTGTCTCTAGACCTGGTCGAGAGCAATGCGCCGATTGGGACGGTTGGGCTTTTCATGGCGAACCTTCAGCTGATGGGGTACGACCTGCTTGCTGAGGCGGTATACTCTCGCCGTTTAGCCGGTGTTCCCGAATCGGGACCGGCTCTAGTGAGCTACGTGTGGACCGGGAATCAACTACTGGGTCTCGTCGCGGTGCTGCTCGTCGGCTTCATTGTTGAGCACGCTGATGGAGTTTGGAGCCTTGGTGGTGCACAGTGGGCAATTCTGACTACAATCTTCGCATCTTCTACTGTTATCATACCCGCGGGGCTAAACTTCTTCGAGGAGAAGCGGTTGACCAAAGAAGAGTCCAGAGCTCATCGTAAGCATTTGTGGGGCAAGCAAACGACTGTTGCCGTTCTTTCGGTTGTGGTTGGAGTGACGGCCGTGGTTTATTCTATCATTAACTTGGTCGCTACCTCTAATACGGTCGCTTTCGTGACCGCCATCTCGTCCACGATTTTCCTCACTGGTTTCGCATTCATTGTGATGAGGCCAGTGATCGGAAAGCTGATGTTGTTCAATGCGATATCGCAAATTACCATTATCGCGGTTGGGGGTCCCGCGATCTACTTCTACACCAACGACGCTACCATGTATCCCGCTGGACCGCATTTCTCCGACGTTTTCTATGGCTCAGTACTGGGGACCGTTGGACAGCTCTGCTCAGTGCTCGCCCTCCTTGCTTTCGGCAAGTTCATGAAGAGTTGGAAGTATAGGACAGTGTACTTCTCGATGACGGCAATGTTGGTGATCATGCAGCTAGGCGACCCTATTATTTTCTCTCGACTAAATGTCCGTATCGGAATCCCCGATCAGGTCTTCGCTATAGGCAGCACAGCCTTAGTGGCCGCAGTGTCTATGATACAGTTCATGCCAGGGTTCCTCATCCTGTCTCATTTATGCCCTAAGAATATGGAAGCTACTATGTTCGCCTTATTGGCATCGTTATCGAACTATGCCCAGAATGTTACACGCCCTATTGCAGGCTTCATCAGTCAATCTTTGGGAGTTGTCCCACGAGGCCTACCTGGTGTTGACGAATCGGAGCAGTTTGACAACCTCTGGATTGTGTCATTGATACTGATAGGCTTAAGTGCCACGTCGCTCTTCTTTCTCTGGTTGATACCTAATGCCAGGATGAACGAGCGTATCATGGCCGACGGTGATGATACCTCGGCTACTTCTGGTTCACTATTCGAGAGGTGGATGCGAAGCAGACGCGGTTCCACAGGGGAAGTAGAGGTCAAATCTGAGGCTCCTAAGCTCACTATTGAGGAAGAGAGTAATCCTATCACTTAAGCTTGATCAGACTTCGTCGCGTAGAAGATATATCACTGTCTCGTGTCTAGAGAGCTTGTGTCGAATCATTATTCTTTGTTGTGACATTTCATGGGGCGTGATGGCGCTAATGGATTGTAGGGCTTACAGTCGCCGATCTATACGACGAGTGATTTCTACTAGGCCGGTGTACAATCCATTATTAGTCGCCGAGAGTCGTTGCCCCTTACAATGGCAGTCTTAACGTCGTAATATTATCGATTATCGATCATCCGCTTTCGATTCATCTCGCGATATTCAATCGCAGTCTTGGGAAGTCTAAACTGCTTAGCAGGAAGCAATTCTGTTATTGGTGGCACAGAGACCGTCTATCTAGCGAATGTTGCGTTTGAAATCATAACAGGGCATGTTCGCACTCCTGTATGACACACAGTGCGTCACTATGCCAATAATGACTACGAAATTTCTCACAGACTACGGCCATTCAGCGAGCCTCGCTAAGTGAGGTAATCACCCAGGTCCCAAGCGCCGGAAGATACTGTGGAGACGGGAGATCGCGCAGGCGGCGCTTAGTCTCCGATAACTCATCGGCGACCACTCGCACCGGCGAATTCCATGAAGGGTGTGCGAAGCATGCGCTGCACGCCGAAATTCTCGGTCTCGACCTCATGAGCCAGGGGTAAGCTTAGCCTGACCAAGCTTATGCTCCTAAGGCTATTTCCTCAAGGACCTTGAGGAGCGGCTCCTGAGTATTATTAGGCGCAGCTCCTCAGCCTCCTTCCTTGAGTAACTTAGTTATAAGGAGGCGCTCCTTCCTCGAGGATCTTACGATCCTTCCTTAAAGAAGGCCTCCTAAGTTATAGAGCCAGTGAATGAAACCGTTGGAGACACATTCTATGTAGACCTCGAGAAGGGTTTCCAATGATAGGTCTCATAGATCCTTGGCTATGAGAAGTTATGGCGGCAGAGCCATTTCAAGTCGACAGTGTCGACTCGCCACCCTGTACTTGCGGATTTGCTCCAAAGCGACTCACGCTGAACACAGTAGCGTAGTCAGTATTAAAAGCGTCATTGTTCGAGATATATGATTCCGAGTCGGACCCAACTATCAACATCATGAGCCGATACCTGTCACTGACAGGCTGCCAGTAATCCCACGACGGTACTAACTGTCAGTAATGCACGTGTAGTAAGCGTCACTCACGCTGCGTTAGGTGCTTGTGTCGGGGTATCGGTTGATGAACTCTAAGAACAACCAATACTACGACCCTAGGACAATAACAATAAGCGCACTACCTGCACTTAAGTTCTGTACGAATACCCACACTCTTAGCAGCACAGTAATCGATATTATCGAATGAGCCCAATATCGATTCGATATTGGGCTCATTCGCTATAATGAGGAAGGCGAAGGTTTGATGAGATAACAAGGGTGCAGGCAAACTGGACCCACAACACTTGCTCTATTCGTGGCAACGGAGCGATCGATTTCATATTCGTGGAGAATGACCTGTGCAACTTGAATGATAGAAGCTCGCGTGATAACGAGAAGAAAGACTACTACGACTGGAGTGCCCAAGATTAATTGTATCCTCGCAATGTATCTTACGACCTCACCCATAGGTCTCTACAGGTCAACGCGTGCGGATGACCGGAATCCTCCCACTTGGCAGTG